TCCTTGAGCAAAGCTCGTTTTCTCACTAATAAAATGAGGAGGTTGGGCTTGATTATCTTTTAACTCTCTTTCAAGCTTGAAATTTGCTTTATTTTTATCCTCACACTAATAAGGAAAGCAGGATCGAAGAATGATGCTGAGAGAGGTTAAAGGAGTCGTACAAAGTCACAGGAACTGCAATTAGAGGCCCAGTCTCACATACCCAGCCCCAGACTCTTTCCACTGCCACACACTGCTCTAAGCCTGCCCTGTAATGATCTTAGGAACAGGATACACACTCATCATCTGCAAGACTTTGATGAATTTCTGCCTGGAATGGCGAAGAAAAAAAGACACATAGTCATGAGCTTATGATTCTAAGACACTTGGCCTTTTATTTTTGCATCTAGAATTATCAGCACCTGAGCTTAGGAAGAAAAATAATTCTTTGAGAAACTGACTTATACTTTATTTCATCTCAGTATTTATCTTTTTTTATGGATATTTAGTAAATGTATGCTCAACAATCTGACTACTAGCATTTCTTCCTTCAAAAATAATTTTTGTTTAAGGAAAGGTCAGTTGATTAAGAAACTGGAGTTCACTCCATCACTGGGGTTCAAAGCAAAGCAGAGGTTTCATGTTCACTTCCTATTTTAACCAAAGGTCTCTGGGTGTTTGGATTTGGAAATTTGTGCCGCAACACAGGAAGGATATGGATTGTAGAATTAAAGCCACCTGAATTTTAATACTAGCTCTATTATTTGACAACTTTGGATTTTGAGGGATTGAATTTCAATGCCGTCTTCACCTGTAAGCAAGATCATTTCTACCCTTGAAGGTTAGAACATAAAAATAATTGCTTATCACAATATCTTATTACAAAAATTTTCACACACACAGAAAAGTTAAAATAATTATGCAATGTAAGCCCATTTTTCCCTCCACCTAAATTCTATCATTGACATTTGGTTATATATACACCTATGCATCTTCACATCCCTCTCTTAATCAATTTATTTTACTTTTTGATTCATTTCAAAGTCAGTTGCAAACATCAGTACACTTTACCCCTAAATGCTGCAATGCTTTACAGTATTTTATATGCAAATTTTACATACAGTGAAATATACAAAATGTATACCACTCAATAAGCTCTAGCAAATACATACACCTGTATAACAAAAACCTCCATCAAGATACTGAACATCACTATCACCTCCAAAATTTCATGCCCCTTCCTGGTAAATCCCTGCTGCAATCCCTTCTGTTCTGATGTATTTTCATCAAAACTTAGTTTTACCTGTTCAAGAACTTCATAGAAATGGAAACATACAGTAGGTATTCGTTTGTATAAGGGTTTTCATGCAGAATAAAAGTTTGGGGGATTCATTGATGTTGTTGCATGAATGTGTAGTTTCTTCTTTGGCATAGCTGGCAAGTACTCCACTTAGGAATCCCATAGTTCATCCACTCTCACTTTTGGCTATTCTAAATAAAACTGTTGTAAATATTCCTATAGACTTTTGTAGATATATTTTTTTATTTCTCTTTGGAAAATATCTAGAAGTAAAATTGTAGGTTCCAGAGTAGGTTTGTATTTAGCTTTAGAAGAAATTTCTAGGCTTTTATCCATAGTGGCCGCACAATTATACGTACTTACTAAAAACATAAATGTTCCAGTTGCTCCACATCCTGACCAATATTTGCTGTTAGTCTTTTTAAATTTAGCCATTCTAGTGGATGTCTCTCATCATGGTTTAATTTGCATTCCCTTGATAATTAATAAAATTGAGCATTTTTTATCTTCCTAACCTGAGTCTTTGGCCTCTTTTTTATTGAATCATCTTTTTGTTACGAGTTTTAGAGTGCTATATATTCTGGATACTAACCCTTTGTCGTATATATATTCTGTAAATTTCTTAACAATGCCTTCTGATTAGCTCAACTAGACTTTAAGTCTAGTTTTTCAGGAATTTTTGTTTTTTGACAGGGTATCACTCTATCACCCAGGCTAGAGTGCAGTGGTATGATCACAGCTCACTGCAGCCTCAATCACATGGGCTCAAGCGATCCTCCTACCTCAGCCTCCTGAGTGGCTGGGACTACAGGTATGTATCACCATGCCCAGCTAATTTTTTGTAATTTTGGTAGAGATATGGGTTTCAGTCATGTTGCTCAGGCTGGTCTTGAACTGCAGGGCTAAAGTGATCCACCTGCCTAGACCTCCCAAAGTGCTGGGATTACAGGGATGAGCCATTGTACCTGGCCAAGTTTATCAATTTTTATTGCTTTCTGTGACTGAAGACACTTTCACCTATCCACTACATTGCAAAGATATTCTCCTATGTTTTCTTTCAGATGCATTATAATTTTGGCTTTTTTTAGGTTGGTGAACCATCTCAAAATAGTATTTGTGAATGGTATGAGGTAGGGGTTGATGCTTCAGTTATTCCAGCATCATTTTCTACAAATATTTTCCTCTCTCCATTGGGCTGCTTTGGCACATATATTGGAAATCAGTCCATTGTGTAAGTGTGGGTCTATTGCCAGGCCTTCAATCCTATTCCATTGATCTGCTTGCCTGTTTTTATGAAGGTGTCATGAAGTTTTGATTGCTGTAGTTTTGTAGTAAGTTATGAAGCCAGATAGTGTAATTTCTCCAACACTGTTCTTCTTTTTCAACGTTGCTGAAGATATCCTAGCTTTAGCTCATTTTAAAGGAATTTTAGAATTAGGTTGCCTTCCTGCAGAATAAATAAAACAGCCTGGTAGGCTTTATAAGTGATTACACTGACTTTATAGATCAATCTGGAAATAACAGACATCTCAACATTATTGAGATTTCTAATCAATAAGCATGGCATCTCTTTCTAGATATTTAGGTTGTCTTTCATTACTTTCAGCAATGTGTTATAGTGTTTGGCATAGAGGTTTTGCATGCTTTTTGAGAGCTTGTTTGGACGTTCTAGCAGGGGAGCACAACTACTGATATACTCTTCACCGAAGACAGGTCCTCCTGTATATCAGGGGTGGCCCTCCTCTTCGATCAAGCATGCAGCTTCAGGAAGGATACACACGGAGCAGTAAGGGAGGTAGGGGACACCGCCTGGCCATCCAGATCAGCCAAATCAACCTTGGTGATCGATGGGGTGACAGATGTCACAGCCAGATCACCCTCACATCCTTGCATGTATTTTGTTAAAGGTATTCCTGAGTATTTTGTGTTTCATCATGATATTGTAAGCGGAATTTAAAAATTATTTTTCCACTTATTTGTACTAGCATCTAAAAATACATTTGAATTTGCATGTCAACAATATATCCTGCAACCTTGCCAAATTCATTTACTATTCCTCATAGTTGTTTTGTAGAGTCATTAGGACATACTGTGCCATCAACCATATCATCTGCAAACAGACAGTTTTATTGCTCCTTTTTCAATCTATATTTCTTTTATTTCATTTTCTTATCCTATTGCACTAGCTATGATCTCCAACACAATGATAATTAAAAGAGCTGAGAGTGGGCATCCTTACCTAGTTATAAATCTTAGGGAGAAAACATTCAGTATTTCCCTATTAAGTGTAATGTTAGTTGTAGATTTTTCATATATTCACTTAACAGATTGACATTCCTTACCATTGCACCTTTGCTTCAAGTTTTTATTATAAATAGATGTTCCCTTTTGTCAAATAATTTTTCTATATTATTTAAACTATCATATATTTTGTCTCCTCTATTGTGTGGCTCTGGCGAATTACACAGGTTAGTCTTTAAGCATTTAACTTTGCATTCCATGGATAAATCCCAATTTTACACATTGCTACATTCCATTTCATATTTTCTTAAGATATCTATTTTTAAAACTTATTTTTTTGAATCAAGTTTATGATGGCTACATAAAATGACATGTTCCTACTTCCTCTATTTTCTGAAAGATTTGCATATTAGTGTTGTTTCTTCCTTAAATGTTTGCTAGAATTTACTAGTAAAACCAATTAGGCCACAAGTACTTTTTAATAATCATTGCAAACCAGGAGCTGCGTAAGATATTTTATTATCGTCACTGTTTATAACAACACTTCAAATTACATAAAACCTACTTTAAACAGTCAAAATTTAGGGTTGAGAGAAATTAAATAACTTACCCGAGGACATGCAGCTATATGTCGTGTACAAACATCAGGTATATTTAGCTCTAAAGTTTTTAGTCTACCACAGAATGTCATGGTAGATTTGAAGTTGTACAGATAAATATCACTTCAAAACTCCCTTAATACATGGCACTCATAAACTGAGCAAGCATCTCTACTGGTCACTAGTTGATTTTTCAAGACAAGGAAGTTGTTTTTTTTTTTTTTTAATGTATTAGAACCAAAATCCAATTTTAGACATGCCACTAATCTCATTCTTAAAAAGAAGAAGGCACATTAGACAGTGAAGTTAGTTACATTTAATATCAACTATAGATCAGGACTCATTCACTCCAGCCCATTTTTGTTTCAACATTTTATTTATGTAACTGTATTTACTAAGAACCTATAAGTATGTTAAATAAGTTATTGGCTACGCTTATTTCTTCACTAGTAGTTCTTCGTCATATACAAGGCATGAGAAGTTTCTTCAAATAAATTAGATAGTGGAGTGCCAATTAACAAATAAAAGAACCCTATAAAGAAAGTCACATTGGTGCAGCATGAATTACCCAACAAAGATCTAACATTTTTATTTTATCTGATGCTGAAAACAGGTAAACAACATAGATCTCTAGTTTCTTTATGGTTCCCTGGTAACCCCAAAAAAACCAGATCATATGTATTTCTCAAGATGAAATATTTCATTGTGTAATGGGTTTAGATTATGAGTCAAAAATAAAATAAAACAAACACCAATCATATCAGGCATACAGACAAACCGTGCATTGACTTTGTTATGTATGAATACAGTGTGAGAAAGAGGATAAAGGCACACAATCCCAACATATATTTTCTAATACTATTTCCTTCATTTGAACTTACCAATAGAGCAAAAAGGAGCGAGATAGCTAGGTAGTCATCCAGTTTTTCTTTTAACAAACAAACTCTATCCATCCATTTTTCTCAATCATCTTAATAGTGTGAGTAAAGAGTGTTTCCAGGTTCTTAGAATACAGAGCTAGGGAAAAAATTAAGTTGACAGGGTTCAGTCTTGACAGTGTATCCAGCTGTTTATAGCTTTTCATTTTTTCCATAAACCTAACTGGTATCAGTATATGTAAAGTTTCTAACACTTCCAGCTAGGGAATACTTCACAGAAGAAAAATGCTTTCCTTGGAGTTTACAAATGCCATTTGGTCTAATTTTTCAGCAAGGGTTTGTCTAGTTAGATTATGAGATTTTTCCTGGAGAGCAACAGCAAGAGAATGTCCCTCATGCTGTCAGAGAAAGAGAGTTATATTTTTGTTCCTTGGAAGAAACATATAATGTAATGGGCAAAAAGTCAAGTGGGTGGGGAGCCATTAGCCCACATAAACCTCCAGAGACATCTCTAAGAAAAAGGCATTCTAAATAACACACTCCACTAGCATATTTTCTTTTAAAAAATACGTCCAAGAAAGTAGATGCAGGCTGGGTTTTATGGGACAGGACTCATGCTGTCCTACCCAGACAGCAAGAGTTACTTAGGGAAAACAAAGTTTGAAACATGGGTACGACTAACGGCAAAAATTGAGCCCAGAAGGTCAGAGACTAATGGTGGGACTACAAAGATGTAAGTTAGGAGCTGGTTCAGAGAAAGAGAACAGGAACAAAGAAAGAGCATCTCGTAAGATTTCTGCAAGTCTTTCTACACCTGAATTTCTCATCTATCAGATGGGCGTGTCTATGGCAGTGTCAGAATAGCTTAAAAAGCTAAAATGCAAGACATAGGCCAAAATTTAATTCTGAACTATCAACTCTGAGTTAGGAACCAAATATCCTGCCATATTATTATACAGTACACACTTCTTGAACAGTTCAACAGAAGACCTTTGTGTTTTTTTCTTTCTATAAATGATCTCCATTTTAGGTGACTCTGATCTTTTTTAATCTGCATTTTTTTTTTTTTTTGAGATGGAGTTTCACTCTGTTGCCCAGGCTGGAGTGCAGTGGCGTGATCTTGGCTCACTACAAGCTCCGCCTCCCGGGTTCACGCCATTCTCCTGCCTCAGCCTCCCGAGTAGCTGAGACTACAGGCGCCCGCCACTGCTTCCGGCTAAGTTTTTTGTATTTTTAGTAGAGACGGGGTTTCACCATGTTAGCCAGGATGGTCTCGATCTCCTGACCTCGGGTTCCGCCCGCCTCGGTCTCCCAAAGTGCTGGGATTACAGGCGTGAGCCACTGCGCCCAGCCTAAATCTGCATTTTTAAAACTACTAAATTTTAAGCTAATAATGTCCCACTGATGTCACAAGGACTCACTAGGGGATCACATTATGTTTTAAACCCATTCGGTGCTTAATATGATTTGATCTGTAAAATGCTTTTCAGGTATCCATTCATCATGGACATGGATATTTACTTAGTGTGGTGATTAAAGGGAGGAACTCCAGAGTGAGGCTGTTTGGGCTCAAATCCCAGCTTTACCAGTTACTAGCTGTATAACCTTGGGCAAGTTAGGAAACCCTTTTGGAATCAGTTTATTTCACTGCACAATGAGGAAAAGAGCAATACCTATCTCATATGACTGTGAGAATTAAATAAGTTCTACAGAAAGCATTTTTAAAAGTGCCCTAGCCAGAGGAGGTCACGTCTAGCCAGAGGAATTACTTCTTGTTGCTGTTATACTATGTGACTATAAATAATACTGTTTTTTTTCCTTTTGACCGGATTCAAAAATGTTCTCTTTCAAGAAATTCCATAAAATCAGGTTTTCCCTTCTATTTTAACATCTGCCAAACTCTCTTCTTAAAGAAATTGAAATTACTTGGCTTATGGTCAAATTTAATGGTGAAGACTGAATCTATAAATCTACAAAGACTTAGAAAGGGATTTATAAAATAGTAACTTATAACTCAATTACTATTTTAATGGCCTGGTTGTGCCTGAAAGTAATTAACTGAGCAAGACCTGAGTATGTGTGTACCTCCAAGATACCCACGACCGATCGCATGGTGGAATCAGATGTAGTTAGAGAAACTGTGATAACTCAAATTTTCCCAGCTCTGATCATCGCCTCCGTCATTAGATCCTATGGCCAGTTTTTTGTGTCAGGGTCCCCGTGAACACCACTGGACACTCCCACAACGGCAGGAGAACCCCTGGGAGAGATAAAACCAAAACAGCAGTGTCTGGCACTGGTGCTGTTTTTACTAGTGTTACAGGACTTTGGAGTAGCCCTGCTATAGTGCTGCAAGTTTCTCAAAACTTTTACTCAAATGGCTCTGTAGCATCTTATTTATGGCCCTGCTGTTTCCCAACTCTGAAACTCTAGGTTGTCTTATACTTTAATTTCTTTTTCCTTTTTTTTTTTTTTTTTTTTTGGAGACAGAGTCTCACCCTGTCACCCAGGCTGGAGTACAGCTGTACGATCATGGCTCACTGCAGCCTTAACCTCCCAGGCTCAAGCAATCCTCCCACCTCAGCCTCCTGCGTAGCTAGGATTACAGGCACATGCCGCCATGCATGGTTAATTTTTTAAAAAAGTTTTTTGTAGAGACTGGGCATGGTGGTTCAAGCCTGTAGTTCCAGCATTTTGGGAGGCTGAGGTGGGAGGAGCACCTAAGCCCAGGAGTTCCAGACTAGCCTAGGTAACATTGTGAGACCCTGTCTCCACACACAAAAAATTAATTTTTAAAAAAATTATTTAGGCATGGTGGCATGTGCCTGTAGTCCCAGCTACTACTTGTGAGCCTGGATGGGAGGATTGCCTGAGCCCAGGCAGTCTAGCTGGCAGTGAGCCAGGATCGTGCCACTGTACTCCAACCAGGCTGACAGAGCAAGACCCTTTCTCAAAGAATAGAAAAAAAAGAATTTAATTTCTTAGAATTTAAATTCTATTAAAAACCGTTTAAAATATAGGTGTTTTGCAGTTTATATAAACAGTTTCTTATGCAAATTCCAGATAATTCTGTCTTGGGGGGATGAGTTATAGATTAGTGAACATACATATATTTCTTTAAATTGTGCAAAATGGATATTACTAAGCTGTATTTGCAGGTTGGGCCTTCAGTGGCCACGACCTCTGAGTCCTGTTTCACATTGAAAACAACCAATAGAGCACATAGACGATCCCCCTTGAAGGGGGAGAAGGTGCGATCTGTGTAGTTCTAAAGTCTTGCCAAATGACTCCAGAGCCAGTTATTGAGCTGGAGCCGCGGGTGAGAGAAACACTAGTGAGCTAATTATGCAATATTTATATTTGTAACCAGTTACCTAGTAAGCACATGAGAAATTTAGGCCGGGCACGGTGGCTCACACCTGTAATCCCAGCACTTTGGGAGGCTGAGGCAGGTGGATCACCTGAGGTCACAAGTTTAAGACCAGCTTGGCCAACATGGTGAAACCCCATCTCTATGAAAAATAGAAAAAAATTAGCTGGGCATGGTGGGCACCTGTAATCCCAGCTCCTCGGGATGCTGAGGCAGGAGAATTGCTTGAACCCAGGAGGTGGAGGTTGCAGTGAGCCAAGATTGTACCATTGCACTCCAGCCTGGGTGACAGAGCAAAACTCCATCTCAAAAAAAAAAAAAAAAACAAAAAAAGAAGAAGAAGAAGAAAAAGAAGAAACTTAAATGAAGCCAAGAAAAGAAAACTCTGTTGAATATTAGAAGTCCTCCTTATATCATACTTTGCTGTTCATCATTGCTGAGTAACTGGAGGACAGCAATAATAATAATAATAATCTCAGCGCTTGTAAAGTGGTCCATACCTGTAATCTCTTTCAAAGAAAAAGTAAATTAGTTTCACAAATTAGCTTAAAGATTATTGCTGGGTTATTAGGGTTGCTACTGTTTTTACAAAAGGCCATTCATCAGGGAAGGCCAAATTCTGAGCCCTGTCCAATCCTGTAGATCTCTGCCAAGAGCCACATGTGGCGACAGAGTGAGGGCTTGACATGTGACTAGTCTAAATTGCAAAATACACACCAGAATTCAGACTTTGTACAAGATAAGGAATGTAAAATATCTCAGTCATTTTATATTGATGACCTACTGAAATATTTTGGTTTAAACAAACATTATTAAAATTAATTTCCCTTGTTTCTTTTCACATTTTTTATGTGGCTCCTAGAAGTTTTGAATTTCTTGATATGGTTTGCACTTGAGACCCATGTTACATTTCTCTTGGACTGCACTGGGCTAGCCCAGTCGGAGAAAAAAGTAGAGAAGAGTAAGCAGAGCTCACAACAATCACTACAGGGAACACAGTCCTTGTCCTGGATATTCCATTCCTCAAAGTGATGTAGAAACTTGGATATGAAGAACCTATGAATGGCTAACTTTCCTTCTAATAGACAAGTCTTTTAAAAGCATCAATTTATTAAATTACATCTATGGCTTTGAGGTGATAACAGATGAGTTGTGTAAATAGAGCATTACACATAAAAATTATCAATAGATGGTAGCCTGTTTTGGGTGTGTTTTGGCTGACAAGTGATACAGACAAAATAATTACCCACTCATAGCCACAATTCAAAACCACTTGGCAAATGGTCTAGTTTAGTGGTTGGCAAACTGTGGCATGGGAACCAAATCCAGCCTGACACCTGTTTTATAAAAAATAAAGTTTTATTGGAACACAGCCATAGCCTTTCACTTCCATATTGTCTATGGCTGCTTCTGTACTAAAATGGCAGAGCTGAGTAGTTGTGAATGAGATCATACAGCCTTTAAGGCCTAAAATATTTACTATCTGGACCTTTACATAAAAATGTTTCTGATGCCTGGTCTATGGTTAACACTAAAGTAAGAGTGGTTCTTTTAAGTCAGATCATGTCTTTGCTCTGCTCAAACTTCGCAACTGGCTTCCCAGCTTAGAGTGAACAAGGAAAAATAGTCAGACCTCATAGCAATCAGCTTCTGGCTCTTCCTGCCCTGCCCCAGGTGGTCTCCTTGCTGGTCCCAGAATATGCCAAACAAGCACCTACTTCAAAGTCTTTGTCCTTATGGCTCCCAGGTCCCCTCCCTCACCTCCTTCAGGTCCTTCTGCAAGTATCAGTGATTGCTGTATACAAAATAGCTGCCTCCTCCCCTTTGCTGCTTTGTATTTCTCTGTAGCACCAATCAGTAACTGGCCTACCACAAAATTCACTTCTCCGTTTACTCTTTTTCCTCCAACTAGAAAGAAACTCCACAAGAACAGGCATTTTTGTCTGTTTTGCTTGCTGCTGCATCCTTAGCACCTAGAAGGATATCTGGCCCCCGAAATACATGAAAGAGTGAGTAGGCAGTTCACTGTTTCTCTAACCACATATGAGCTAGAAAAAATGTGGGCAAGATATGGTTCCTACACTAAGTGATAAGAAATATAATCAAATAATTAAAAAATATATATGCCTGGACATAAGAGGATCAGACACATGGAGATAAATGCATGCCCTCTCTCCCTTCCTTCCTGCCCATCCCTATGCATCCATTCATCAACCCAATCATCCACCTGCCCAGCAAGAAAAACATTTATTGTATTAGGAGAAGCATGGTGGTCTGAGGAAAGTAGTCAGCTCCAGCCATAATTAATGTTGAAAGGCTTTTTGGAAAAGTGTTGTACACGATGGGGGCAAAACCACTGTCCAAGCAGGGGATACTGGAGAAAGGAAGACATTTCCGCAGTTATGATGGCTTAGACCATTGGTCTTCAAATTTCATTCAAAAGGTATTTTTTCTATAAGAAATCTTACAGAACTCCAATATATAAATAGAAGTCTTTGATAAAGTCTTCTTTTCCTGAGGAACCCAGAGAGATGTTACCTTCTCTTTCTCTGACCCCTGTTCTCCATGGCATCAGAGGCAACTCTGTCCTTAAGACTCCTTAGAACACAGTATGAAAATGAACAACTTCTAGAAATGAGACTTCAGAGTTTTCATCATTTTCATAATTCCAAAAACTTATTAGAAGCTAGAAAAAATTAGGAAACCAAAAATTAGGAATCTGGCTTGGTAAAATTAAGACTATGTCCCATCATAGATGTCATAGGAGATGTGATAGACATATAACAAGACATGCGTTCTCGGCTACACTCCTAGTTCTGCCTTAATCATTTGTTGTCTTATTATTATTATGATTAAATGGCAGTCAAGGTAAATGAAAATGTAGACATCAGCAGCAGTAACTGGATAAAGATCAAGACTCTAATGCTGCTGACAGAGCAGACACACAGCCAGGCACGAAGACGAGCTCTTATTGCAGTTCTGACTGTAAGGACTGCTCTCAGAACAACCCTTTTACAATTTTCCTTCCCCTTCTTCATAACCTATTGCTAATATCTGGACATATGCTTCTGGGAAAACAGAAAGGTCCGCTTTTCTGTTAAATACTTTAGTTGCTTATCAGTCTAGGCAACTGTTTGAGCTCACCTGAAAAGTTAAGTGATAAATCACTGTCATTTATTACCACCAATCAGAAAAAAAAAAAAAAAAAAAATCATGCAATTTATCAACATCATACTACAAATACTGAGATAGGAAGTTTCATATAGTACAGGAACATGTTTACACAAAGTTTGGGAGTCCTATGTTGTATTGATTGCTTTAAACAAAGAAATATTTCATGTGTGTGTGTTTGTGTGAAAAAAAAAATATATATATATGTATATTCTACGTTTATACTGTACCTGAACAAATGCTTCTATTTTTCTTTTTCTAAAAAGTAAAACTAAAATTAAATTCGTCTCCATGCCTTTGTCAGCAACAAACAACTCTTAACCACCAGAGGCAATACCATAATATTCAAGAAAATGCCTTCACCTTGGGCTTTGACATCGGCAAAGTGTTTAAAGGTTAATTACCTGAAAGCTTAGGGTAATTTCACTGGATCAAATAGATAAAGTTATTTTTATCTCTTAAGTGTACATTTTAAGGCTAGGCGCAGTGGCTCACACCTGTAATCACTTTGGGAGACTGAGGCAGGAGGATCACATCAGCCCAGGAGCCTGGGCAACATGGCAAAAACCCACCTCTACCAAAAAAAAAAAAAAAAATTTCTGTAAGTAGTGGTGCATGCCTGTAGTCCCATCTACTCAGGAAGCTGAGGTAGGAGGATAGCTTGGGCCCAGGAGACGGAGGTTGCAGTGAGTTGAGATCATGCCGCTGCACTCGGGCCTAGGCAATAGAGCAAGACTCTGCCTCAAAAAAAAAAAAAAAAAACCCAAAAGTATACATTTTAAATATGATAAAAATACAAATATTATAGCATAACAGGCCAACTATCAACACTCAGCCACAAGGGAGTCTTTGTTCTGCTACTCTATCTGCAGCCTCATTTCTAACCCTGGAAACTCTATTCAGATAGCTTTATTCTAAATATCAAGTAATACACAGTTACGTTTTCAGGACTAGTTCACACAAGAAATAAAACTTTTCATTGATGAGAAACTGACCGATATAATGCCAAATTCTAAGTGGTACAATATTTCTTCTTGAGTTTTCTTGAGCCAAAATATACTGACAGCCACATTTCAAAATTGAAGAAGAATTTTAGGATGAAAACAGATATAGTAAGGAGGGCCAATTATTGTTCCCTTTGAATGAAGTTGTTAAACTTTGTATATTTTTGTAGAGAGCTTTCAAAACAGAAGTAGTGCTGTGACCAGTCAATTCAATTAAGGCCTGCTCTGATGCCAGGTTAAGAATCCAAAGTCCACATACATGGTTCTCCTATTCCACATCAAGATAGCCTTTAAACAAGTCATAGAAATTAGCACTCAGGAAAAAAAAAAAGTTTAATAGTATCAACAACTGCCCTCTGCTCTCCAATTCAAGTCCTAACACAACAAGCCACATTTACATCTCTTACCATCTAAGAACAGGTGGCCTTAATTAATTTATTAATTAAATAACCCAATACCACCTTGCCTCTAGACAGTAGTATATATAATATACATCAAACCACGCTCCAGGAAACAATCCCATGTGGTCATAGTACTGAGCAGAAAATGTATAGAAAATATTCAGGCACAAGTTGGACTTGTTATATTTATATACCTGTAGTATCGGACAATCAGACTGAAGATGTTGGAGAAGGAGAAGACGGAGAGGAAGAAGAGCAGGAGGAGAAAACAAACAATATCTTTTGCACATAAGTATATTATGATTTTTATATCAATGGCAATGAATGATAAAAAGCAACATAATAGTAATTAAATAATCCAAATTAAAACAATGAAATTCTATTTTCACAAGCTACTCAGTGGTTTCATTTTTTCTTATTGTGAGTTAAATTTTGGTAAATTTGGTCTTGTGCTTGACAGTGTATGGCAGTCTAAAAGGAATATACACATATATCTCCACAGCAAATAGTCTTCATCCAACAATTTGACTCTCTATATCTCTTCATAAGTAAAAAATCCAAAATATGGAAAAAAGATATTGTAAAAAAAAGTCTATCTTAACTAACAACAACAACAACATATATTCTTTCGCTTAAGACTCCATACTGTATAATTTGACATATTTTATTCTTATTTTCTGCTGTTGTCTTTTTTTAAAACTAGACCGTAAACTCCTTGAGGGCCACAACTGCATGCTTTTCATCTCTCTGAGTTTTGCTGCTGGTCAGTACTCATTATTTGTAATGTACAAGTCAAATCAGATAGCCAGTCAGCAACTGAGATGGTTTTCCTAAGTGGTCAGATTATGACCCTGGAGGGTATTTCTAGATGTCTCTTCAAATACCCACAGGAATTTTGAATTTACTATGTAGATCTTTATAAAAGATCAATTCCTGGCAATGTGCCAGTGTTTTATACCAGTGTTTTAATGTACTTCAGCACACATGTCGAAAAAATAAGGGAATCAAGAATGAGCTCTTAGAAATCAAAATTATTTTATTTTAAGTTCTGGGATACATGAGCAGGATGTGCAGGTTTGTTACACAGGTAAACATGTGCCATGGTGGTTTGCTGCACCTATCAACCCATCACCTAGGTATTAAGCCCAGCATGCATTAGCTGTTTTTCTGGGTGTTCTCCCTCCCCCTATTCCCACCCTGACAGGCTCCAGTGTGTGTATTTCACCTCCCTGTGTCCATGTGCTTTCATTGTTCAGCTCTCACTTACAATTGAGAACATATGGTGTTTCATTTTCTGTTCCTGCATTAGTTTGCTGAGGATAATGGCTTCCAGCTCTATCCATGTCCCTGCAAAGGACGTGATCTCATTCCTTTTTATGGCTGCATAGTATTCCATGGTATATATGTCCACATTTTCTTTATCCAGTCTGCCATTAATGGGCATTTGGGTTGATTCCATGTCTTTGCTATTGTGAATAGTGCTGTAATGAACATACACATGTATGTATTTTCATAATAGAATGATTTCTGTTCCTTTGTGTATATACCCAGTAGTGAGATTCCCGGGTCAAATGGTAAGAAATCAAAATTTTGATTGCTGAAAAACATTAGTGAAAGGATTAGAAGATAGAGTCAAAATCTTCCAGATCATAAGGACAAAGACAGAAAGATGAAAAATATGAAGGACAGAGAAGTGACGCAGAGGCTCAAGTCAGGGGACGCAATATCTGACTGATAGGAGTCCCATTAAGAAAGACCAGAGAAAACCTAGGGAAAACACATCAAAACAATGCGAAAAAATGTCTCAGGGCCAAAGGGAGGAGCAGTTTCCAGATTACTCTAAGTACCATTCAGGATTAATAAGCCCCAAACATCATTATGAAATTTGAGAACACTGAGATGAAAAGCAATCCGAAAAGTTTAATGACAGAAAACAACGTTGAATCTAGACAGAGAATTCCTTTTTTTAAGGCTTGTATTTCTTCTCCCAGCAAGAAAAAACAAAGATCAAAAACTTGAGGGTTAAGAAATTATACAAGAAGGTTATAGGTCAAGTTTGAAGCAAACTAAATGTTGTATGGTTTCAATCAGTGATAAAATTAAATAAAGAATCTTCATTTGGCCTCTTGCATTTGACCCCTTTCACAGAGAGACACAGGGGTCAAGAAATTGGAAAAGAAAAGTATGTAATCCGAGCATCCCAATTGGCCCTTTGTTGAAAAGTATTTGCATATATAGCATAAACACTGCTTACTGGCTTTCAATTTTTACTATCAAGCTGAATAGGAACTATGAGAGATTTCATAATAGTTACAGAATAGCATTACTAACAACCTTAGAAATAGGAAGTAAATGTACAGTTTATATATGTTGGAAAGTAGAAAGGTGCAGAGAGCTAGAGAAAAGGATACAGTACCTGTATCTTCAACTTATGAAGTAGATTTTTAAATACACTACGTAAAATTACCCAAGGAAACCAGAAGGAGAGCTTTTTAAAAAGTAGTATCATTAAAAATTTCTACTGAGGAAAATTATAAGACATAGAGACATTTCTCTTGATTGAGACTGTTGAGATTCCTTTATATTTGATGCAAAGTCCGTATATTAGTAATGAACAATTAAAGACCAAGAAAAAGCACATGTGCATGTTAATCTAGTTTACAGAAGGCATCTCTAGAAACTCACATGAAGCACCACTTAGGGACACATTGTGCAAGGACAGAAAATGTGTCATTTAATTTACAGGCCAGATAAGATCATGTTCATTCTGACATTGTATCCCACAAGTGACTTGGGAGGCTTATGAAGGCGTATTTTGGTATGAGCTCATCTTTAGAGTGCCTCTGTGCTTAACATGTACTTTCTCATTTCAGATGGAGAGGAAACTGGCTGATGCAATGACCGTGCCAGAGAGGCCTCCTCAAAATGCTGGCTTTGTTGGGATGGGAACAAGTCCCAAACACTTAATACTTGTCTGGTCAACTGAAAGAGCCGGTAACACCATTTCTTTTGAAATTCTTTTGTTCTTCAATATAAAATGTTCTTCCTCTGCTTCCATCAGCCTACACTTTTGCAGGACTTTTCTTCCAAATAGTCAGGCCACGTTATTCATATTATTTTGATTGGCCTTGCATGAAGAAATGATTTTGCAACTACATGAAAAGTGGAAAGGCCAGCACCATTGATCTCATTTTTTAAATGGATAAAAAGGTACAGAAGTTAAATAGTGACATTATCACCATAAAGTAGCACTGGAATTCCTGTTTTCTGACTTCCTAAAGAGTTTCTTTTTGAGCAACAGCAAAGTTATCTCATGGCACTTTAATGATGTTGCTGTAGAAGTTCAAAAATTCAAGCCAGAATAGTGATCGTACAACCCACAGCAAATGGTCATCATGGGTTTCCAGTCCTGAACTAGTTTAATTCAACCTGTTTAAAAAATAAAACGAAAAACTTGAGCTCCAAATGTAAATAAATAAATACATATATATGTATGTGTGTATATATATGGATATACATGTATGTATATATGGAGATATATATCTCCAAATACATACGCTTTCCCTAAGTTTACCTCAGAAGAAAACTAGCTATTTTTAAAATTAACATTAGAAATGAAGGGCTTTTGTATTGACTCTGAACACAGAAAGTTAGGAGAGAGAAGGGGAGAAAAAGAAGGGGTAGGGAGAGGGAATGTCTTTTCACTTACTTCAGCAGGATTCTTGGTAAGCATCACATAACACAACTGTGTTTCTGACACATTTTTCATATACTTCCTAAGTATTTCACGAACTCATAGGAACACAGGGGGGAAAGTAAACTTACATAGGGCAGGAAAAAGAGAAAAGTTTTTTGGTGGAATTTGAATTAATGAAAGTCCAAATACTCAAAAATAACTCTGCAGTCAGATTTCAGGACTTACTGGATGTTTTCCCTTCTAAAGAGACCGAGGGTTACAAAAACTTCTTTCCAGGGAAAACAACGAAACTCAAATGAATCCTGGGTTTTTCCTTTGAGGGAAAGTTTATTGTAAACAGAATTGTAAGGGAGGGAGAAAAGTGCCTA